TAGGTAATTTAGATTTCCGCAAATAAAGATGACAGATAGTGGACAAGAAAGTAGAATAAGTAAAAAGAGATAGAGCTAAAACAGAATAATATCAATATGCTATACAAATCGTTTTGTCTCACTAATGAATGATTGCACTAACTTGAATACTTTTCCATTTTAACATGATGATAGGTCTGCACTTCTAACAAAAGTTTAAGGTCGACTGAAATACCTGCTGCTGAACAAATGCGCTTAACTGATAACATGAAGTTAAGTCTTTGTTGTTTGTACAATGGACATTCAAACAGATAATGATACGAGTTCTCAATAAAATCACCACATATTCAAATAGGATCAGTTTTCATTCCAGCTCTGTACAAATCAAAGTTCAAACAACTAACTGAATAACGCAACTTGGTATGAATAATATTTGATTTTCTTTTACCACACGAATAATACTGAGGTGCATATGCATGGTTATCAGTTATGCATGATTTAAGTTGATGGACTGTGCAGTCACTTGTTTAATATCTGTCAAGATCCTGGTTAGAATTGGTCATTAGCAGCTCATGCTTGTAAGATGAATCTAACGGGATCGGGTGGTCAGGCTCGCTGACTTGGTTGACACATGTCATCGTATCCCAATTGCATTGATAGATGCTCATGATGTTGATCACTGGATTGCCTGCTTATGTTTTAACGATGGAGTATGTGTATACAATGTATTTCGGATTCTGATGTGATCATTCTTATTCCAGTTATCATCTCGAGATAAGATAAGCTCTTAGTCTTTAAAGCTTTTTACTACAGTTATATACATGTTTCCATTAACTCCATGCTTGATTTTACTGCAAAATTACCATTTCAACACAAGACGCTAACCGCGAGTGAAATGTGAATGAAAATAAGTGAAACATGAGTGAAATATATGTGAAGCATAAGTGAAACACGAATGGACATAAGTGAAACAAGTGAGATATGAATGAGCATACGTGAAACATGAGTGAAATACAGTGAAGCACGAGTGAAATACATGTGAAGCATAAGTGAAACACGAATGAACATAAATGAAACAAGTGAGATATGAATGAACATAAGTGAAACATGTACAGTGAAGCATATATGTGAAACATAAGAAACACGAATGATAAAAATGAACAAGTGAGATATGAATGAACATAAGTGAAACATGAGTGAAATACAGTGAAGCACGAGTGAAATATATGTGAAGCATAAGTGAAACACGAATGAACATAAATGGAAAAAGTGAGATATGAATGAACATAAGTGAAACATGAGTGAAATACAGTGAAGCACGAGTGAAATATATGTGAAGCATAAGTGAAACACGAATGAACATAAATGGAACAAGTGAGATATGAATGAACATAAGTGAAACATGGGTGAAATACAGTGAAGCACGAGTGAAATATATGTGAAGCATAAGTGAAACACGAATGAACATAAATGGAAAAAGTGAGATATGAATGAACATGAGTGAAACATGGGTGAAATACAGTGAAGCACGAGTGAAATATATGTGAAGCATAAGTGAAACGCGATTGAACATAAATGGAAAAAGTGAGATATGAATGAACATAAGTGAAACATTGGTGAAGTAGATGTGAATCATGACTGAAATATAAGTGTAGCATAAATGAACATAAGTGAAACATAAGTGTTGATGACACATTCACTCATGAGTCAAGGATACACGTAGCAACTATCACAGATGCTTACATGTAGCTAGACTAACGTTTAGTCTCTGAAAAATATTTTGATGAAAACGAAAAACTCCATTAATCTAATTTGATGAGCCAGAGTGAGGAAGGAAATTCATATGAACCTGGGGAAAATCTAGACTTGCTTCATTTAGGACTGTCACATAACGGAAAGGACTGGATGAAAGGTCAAATGATATGGTTCAGGGACTGTGTGACAGACTGGGGTGTCAAGAGACACCGTTTCAAACATTCCCTTTCGACGATCCGGTGACACACTGCATTTGAATGGGTGATCTTTCTATTTCTTGGTCGTGACCGATCGACCTTATTCTGCCTGTTCATCAGCCTCCAGGGGATCTCATATCGTTAAAACGTCTTTCTTTTCCTCTGTACTGAACAAAAAGGGGCTAGAATTTGATTTTAAGTACCCTTGAAAGGTAACGCGGTGTAAAATACAATTTGTAAATCACTGAGTGATGTTGTTTATTTCATTAACATTTCTGAGAGTTTGATCTAAATTTAGCCATCTTGGAACATAAAAATGGAACCAGATGCTCGTTTGGATAACACGGTGAAAGTAATGAACACGATTGTTTTACTTTCGATGCTTAAGCAAGGTGATGACGTGGAATGATTGCCCAAGCCTACCACATATCTTCTCCCACGTTTTGCCTTATATTTCTTTGGTTACCTTATTTTCAGAACATCGTTATACTCCTACACATATACATACGTATATATCTGTATAACCTTTTGACATTGGAAGCACTGTAATGTCAGACTCTGTCCAAGATCGGTTACATCGTCTCTAAGTACCCCAAGCACCAAGCTAAAACCACGATTCATCATGAAACAGCCAGATGATGATACAACTACACCATGATACACAATGAACCAACTAAAAACGATTCAGCAACACGATATTCCAACCGCATAATGATACTCCGTCCTAATGCTACTACCACACCATGACACGACAACGAAATATTACTAGATCACAATACCACTAATCATGATACCAGAATATAATGGCATCATCACCATAATAGCATGTAGTAATACCACCCCGCCATGAAACCACCACAATATTAGACCTCCGTGGCATGAAACCACCACATATCATTGCCACCTCTCCATGAAACCACCATATAATATTGCCTCCTCTCCATGAAACCTCCATATGATGTTTCCATCGCCAGATGAAACCACCATATGATATTACCCCCAATCCATGAAACCACCATAAATATTGCCACTGCTCTATGAAACCACCATATATTATTGTCATCGATCCATGAAACCACCATATAATATTGTCATCGATCCATGAAACCACATATAATATTGTCATCGCTCCATGAAACCCCATATAATATTGCCTCCACTCCATGAAACCACCATATAATATTGCCTCCACGTGATGAAACCACCATATAATATTGCCATCGCCAGATGAAACCATCATATGATATTACCCCCAATCCACGAAACCACCATACAATATTGTCACCACTCCATGAAACCACCATATAATATTGCCACCGCTCCATGAAACCACCATATAATATTGCCACCATGCCATGAAACCATCATATAATATTGCCATCGCTCCATGAAACCACCATTTAGTAATTACCACCTCGCTATGATACCACAGCACTATCATTTCAACACATCATAGGTGACGAATGAACGCTTCAAGCCTCCATAGTCCGCTATACCATTATTGAAACTCTTTGATCAATTTCAGTATGGTGGCTCAGGGGAGTCATGACACACACGCCATACACGCAAGCAATACAGATAGCATAGACCATTAATTTTTCTTTTAAGCCCAAATCAATTACATCTTCACATGTTACTTCACAATTCGCCAAAGCCTTCTGTCTTATCAGGACAACCAGCATCAACAACGTTAGCCTACGTGCCTCTTCCTCTCCCTCTTCCTCTGTAATCACCGAACGTTATATAGGAAAGGAACGTCCTTCACGCTCTTCAACACGTCACACAACTACCCGGATGTAACTTCTATAAGTCGTCTGCCATTGTGTTGGTCACAAATCTCAGGGACGTTCACATGGAACGCAGTCCATCAAATCAAATTATAGAAATACAGTTATAGTTTTGGACATAGGGCACGGCCTCGAGCTGCAGGAAGGAAAGGTCTGGTTGGGTTTATTTCCTCAAAGTCCCTGGATATTTGAAGAAAGTAGAGTAGGTATTGACCCTCTCTCGCCTGTCTATTTGTATCAATAAAATGTCCTAGACGGCGTGATTCTTCAGATTGGCACCGACTCGCCGCAGCTTGTTAAGCTATTATTTATGGTTTCTTTGACTAGATTGTTTGGAGAACAGAGGTTTTCTTGTCATTATTTAAAGATTGAGACAATGAGTCGAACCATTAAGCGCTATGATCAGAGAACCGTTGTTAGGGCCCCGGGTAAGTTCACAGGCGAATATTATTTTCCTATGGTGTTTTCATTCGATTCCGATAGGCGTCCTTTCTGACATCAAATCAATCAATAACAGAATGAATAAATGGGTTTTCATTAACAGAATTGGTACTATATTAGGCTTTCTGCAGTACGCCATAAATATGCTTTGTGGAGTTGGTAAGAGTGTGAGTGAGTCCAACGTACAGTATGTTGTATGATGGTGTGTCAGTTCAAAAGAAGAGATGCAGGTTTTCTATGGACCAGTTGAAACCAGTTGGGACTAGTATAATGCTGACAGACCGATGCTCGTCTGCGTAAGCAGACCCTGGGGACAGACAAGGGGCGTAACTCTGCATTGCAAGTTGTGGCGTCCTTGACAACTGGGTAGACAGTATCCCATGGCAATAACATAGACTCAACAAGTTCGAACTTCAATGATATATCTTTTTGTCTTTTTTATCTCGAAAGCCGGATAGGTTCACATTGGAACCTTCGTTCGTTTTCGTGCGTATCTAAGGGGCGGCGGGGTAGCCCCGGGTTCGATTCCCCACATGGGTGCAATTAGACTAGTAACAACTAGTCTCTGAAATGAACATATTTTACAGAAAAAAAAACAGTTACAATACAATGAAAAGGAGCCCGGAAAATTTCTTCATTTTCAGAAACTATGGAAATCTAAACTTGGCACATAATGGGCTTTCATGGGCTTTCTTGGATGTATTTGTTTCAGGATCTGCATGGCAGACTAGCGTACAATATGTGAAGCCCATTTCTGGTGTCCCTGGCGTGATATTGCATGGATATTGCTAAAAGCGGAGTAAAACAATACTCACTCACACAATTAGTCTTTGTTTTGCAGTCTTTCAACGATGACCGACAGCTGTACGAGACCAATCTCGAGTGGGACGCCGCTCTTTCCAGCGCCCACTCCAGCCATGACGTCTGTCTACAACTACAGGAGGCTAACAAAGAGGCTGACGGGGCGTGCGACTTCGACTGCAGGGGCTGTTCGGTTATATGTAAAAGTAGTAAGTACAACCTTCTGATACTGTGAGTACCTTCGCTAACACGAGTGCCCTTGTTGTTCAGTGGAGTTGCTCTGAAAGGCCTGGCTGATTGTGCATTTTCTGTTGGGTAGCCTTGTGGTTTAAGGGTTCGCTCGTCACTATGAAAACCATGGTTTAATGCTCAATGCCTGTTTCTGGTCCCCCCCACTGGTATATACGCATATATGTCTCATATACGTAAAAAGACATTCTTCATATCCGTTAATCGTTCTCTAATAGGGGAAATACATGAAGTGTCGACCGGTGTGCTATTGTTGTACTTGAATGAATACTTCATAAGCTGTTAATGTTGTAGGGGCGGTGGGATAGCCTAGTGGTTAAAGCGTTGGCTCGTCACGCCGAAGACCCGGGTTCGATTCCCCACATGGGCACAATGTGTTAAGCCCATTTCTGGTGTCCCCCGCCGTGATATTGCTGGAATATTGCTAAAAGCGGCGTAAAACCAAACTCAGTCAGTCAGTTAATGTTGTAGAAGAAAAGTAGAAGAAAAGGTCGCACATATATGTCATACGTCGTAAGGTTCCGTTAGTGTCAAATAGAGAAAATGCATAGATCGCATCCTTCATAAGTTGTTGCTGCTGCTAATGATGATGATGGTGTTGATGATGATGATGATGATGATGATGATGATGATGATGACGATGATGAAATACTTAAATGGTTGAGATAATGTCGAGAATCATGTTGTTGTTTCTGCTGTTATTGCCGCTGCTGCTGTCGAGGATGATGTTTCAAAAACATTAAATATTATATGTCCCGTTTGTTTCTGTTCATGTTGTTGTCGTTGTTCTAATACAGAGAAAATACATAGTTTACATGAATACACAATGCCATTTAGAAAGTGTTCAGATATAACATATGTTATATTTAGGATTACACTTTCTCAGTAAAGTACAGATTCTAGTACTTTTGTTGGGTGGAAGCTTGTAGAAGTTGCGGTGGCTGAGCGGGTTAGGCGAGGGAATTTGTGTGCCGGCGATTAGGTGCCTGACTCTGAGGGTATGGGTTCGAATCCCGGATGGGACTCAACCCAACAGTACTAGAATCTGTGCTTTTCTGAGAATAATATATGATAAATACATACATGTCACAAACAACGGAATCGATTTATAATTATTCTTCAATATGCATGAATCATGAATGCAATCCCACCATTGTGCCAACAGGATTCATATACTACAGCTGTAACTTAATTACATTTCAGCTCTTGTGACCGGTATATTGGCGCTGTCTATGGTACTTCCTATTGTGATGTTATCAATGGGTAAGTTCACGACACTAAACATAAAGACCATTTATTGCTCTAAATTACTAGTATGCAACAACTACGTGAAACATGAGTGGCCCTGTTACTGCGTCGTCACAGTTTCCTGCAGAGAGTCGCGATTATTATTCGTACCAAGATCATTTGTATAATTTGTTTTCCCTTATGTAATATCCTGGGTCCCGATCTACAAAGCGTACGTAGCGCTACATCAGTCGTAAGCATATGGTAAAATGTAGAGTTACGACAGGTCGTAACAAGATCATTTGAATAATTTGTTTTCCCTTATGTAATATCCTGGGTCCCGATCTACAAAGCGTACGTAGCGCTACATCAGTCGTAAGCATATGGTAAAATGTAGAGTTACGACAGGTCGTAACAAGATCATTTGAATAATTTGTTTTCCTTTATGTAATATCCTGGGTCCCGATCTACAAAGCGTACGTAGCGCTACATCAGTCGTACACATATGGTAAAATGTAGAGTTACGACAGGTCGTAACGTTACGAATGCTTTGTGGATCGGGGCACTGATTTTGATTCTCGTTCGCCAGCAGCACATCTTGTTCGCTGGAGTCATCGAAGTTAGTGAGTGAGTGAGTTTAGTTTTACCTCCCTTGTACCAATATCCCAGCAACATCACGGCGGGGAACACTAGAAATGGGCTTCACACATTGTACCCACGTGGGGAATCGAACCCGGGTCTTCGGCGTGACGAGCGAACGCTTTAACCACTCGGCTACCCCACTGCTCCAATTCATCGAAGATCTACAGCTTCGGAGTTTCCTACGATGTTAAGCTAAAATACTGAAATACTGTCTTAAGCGGCGTAAAACGCAACTCACTTATCAAGCATGCAATGTGTTTCAAACAAGTTATTTCGGAGACGCACTGGACCCGGTACTCCCGGTAGTTAAAGTGACGCTTAGTCTACTGCTAGACCCATCAACGGATCTGTTTGTCTAACGTTAGGTGTCACGAGACATCGTGGCCCCACTCCACGCCTGGCGGTCACGACTGATTGTAATCGCTAGATTAGCAATGGATACGGAAAGCGAACGAAAACTCCTATTACACCGAGGTTCCGTTTCTCTGATCGGGAACTATCTGATACTGGATGACCACACGTCCGAACCAGACCTTCCTAAAGCTGTTGTGTGAATCGCTCTCAGGATAACGGCGAGTGGTTTCAACGGACCGGAAGTCTGGTAACATTTCAGCTGGCGAAGCCATATCCTTCACGAGACAATTTCCTGCCTCGAATGGTAATCCTATCCTTTGCCCCCCGTCACTCCCATGCAGTCGATATCTCCCCTGACCCCCCACTCACCTTCCTGTCTGTCACAGTGGGGACAAGGTGTTGGCCCCCCAGGTGCGGAGACAGCATCGAATCAAGCGGATAACGGTAAGATGCGTCAATCAGAAGTCTGGCACACCAGCTTGATGAGCAATACCAATGTGTTACGCCCGTCAAGCTGACATTTTCAAGCTGATCAAGGGGCGGTGGGGAAGCCTAATGGTTAAAGTGTCCGCTCGTCACGCTGAAGACCTCGGTTCGATTCCCCAATTGGGTACTATGTGTGAAGCCCATTTCTGGTGTCCTCCGCTGTGATATTGCTGGAATATTGCTAAAAGTGGCGTAAAACCAAACTCACTCACTCTATCAAGCTGATCATAATCAAGTTAAAACAGTTGCATAGACTATACCAATTAGACATCAATGCCTACAAATTCAAATAACCAAGTTTACTAAAAGTACTGTTTATTAATATTAAAGCTTTTGTTGAGATAGACTTCTGAATGTGTTAGACGTCTTTAAATTAAATTCTGTTGGAGTTTATTTTTCCTTATTTTAAACAAAATAGATTAGGATTGCTATTTGCAAAATCTCCAACGACCTTTTGACTTTTGGAATGTGAACAATCTACCAGTGAAATGGTCAGACGGCTTCTAGGCCAACAAACGTAAGCAGGGTAGTTTTATGACTGGGTCTCAACAGGACTGTATGACAAGAGACAAATGCAGACATGCAATCGAATATCCTGTTACAACGGAGAGTTCAAAGATCGTCATACAACTCCTGCTCAAAATTACTTTGATCAGGATTATAACATTGAAGGTCCCATTAGAGCTTTCAAAACGTATAATTGCTGACACATGGAGGACATTTCCAAATCTGGCGCAGCAGTGTTAACATTATGTCAGATACAATTCCCTATTTTGACTTGTACGCGTCTTTTGAAGGCGAACAATTGACTTGCCTTTGCATGTGTTAGTGACTTGTGAAACGATGGGGTAGGATAAGTCCACCTTCTCGCGAAGAACTGGTATCATAACTGTATTTGATAGTTGATTCATAGGCACATGCATGTGATATATTTACTGTTTTAATTGGAGTGCAAAAGAAATCGACTAAGGGTTGGCAAGAATACAGCGTTGGGTTGGAAGTGCAGCGATTGGGGTCTTAAAATATGTACCAGGTTAACAGTAACTGTGACGTCAGCACATCTTCTTTTGTTCAAGTGAGTGAGTGGTTTTAGCAACAATCCAGCAATATCACGGCGCGGGACACCAGAAATAGGCTTCAAACATTGTACCCATGTGGGAAATCGAACCCGTGACGAGCGAACGCTTTAACCACTAGACTACTCCACCGCTTTTGTTCAACATGCCAGCTACTGTATAATGAATAGTTCTGACTGCGGCCTTAAACAACTCTTCACGTTGTGTGACTGTTTTCAACTGTCCAAAATGGCCAATCGATTACAAAATGACCGCCATGCCTTGCCCGACAGTCTGAATCCAGTGAATTGTGCACCAATCTGTTCGCGAACCGTAATCACATATTCCTAGATCTTTCCGTTCCCGATCTGAGTGGCATTGACCTTTCTAGCCTGTAATCCAGTACAGGGGATTAGATGAAACACAAGAAACATTATAGCTCCCCTATCTGCTTTTAGTTTATTACCTTTGAAATTTCATATTGAACCGGTCTCTGGCCGTGGGAAAGGAACCACTTTGGCATTTGCCGAGAAATAATCAGCGAAGTTGGTAGCACAAAGTTGTCCAAGCGTTATATCATAACAAAGCCGAATGTACAAAATGAGTTCTAATACGTAGTGAGGTAAAACGAATTAATTGCTTGTTCGTTGGCATTTTGGACCTAAGTGAAAATCGTGTGAGCTAATGGATATTAAATGACAACATATTCTTCAGAAAGGGTTTTACTTGGCAGTGAATATTGATGACCATGAACAGTCGTTAGCATTCTCAGTGTAAAGGTCATTGGTTTTTTAATGTTTTCTGAACAATTTGGTAACTAAATTAAATGAAAGTTTTCTAAATAATAAATAAATGTTAAAAAATATTTTAAAGAACGGGTATTGTGTAGCCATTACGTATTTCATAATCAACCGATGGAACGTGTAATGTGCTCTCACCCGGGATAGAGTTAGTGGATAAATCTATTAGATTATTAATTATATTAACGATTTAACCGTGTCAGTAATGTCACTGCTATTTGTGGTGACAGTAACGTAGGATTCCTGTAATGGGTCTTATCACGGTGCCATAATTGTTCAAACTAAAGCAGCACTCAAGCTATTTGTTTGTACAATATAGACAAAATGTATGGATAACAACTTCATTTATTCGTGAGTGCGGCGTTTCGATACAGATCCTTCTACCAATGTCAAGCAGGAAAAGAAGTTGTCATCCATAAAGTTTGTCTATATTGTATTTCCCAACTTCTAAAATGCTACTGAAAGAAATAATGAATTATTTAAGTACAATAAATACATGAAATCTGCAACAACAAGAAACCACAATGACGTTTCAATGTGTTTGACGGTTGGATGTAAATGCTTACTGAAGTTATACCACGTGTAACTGATTGACACACATGTAGATACCAACTGAAGTTACTGAATCTATAACGCAATAATTATATTTGTTTGTTGTTTGCCGCTATGTACAGTCAGTAATATCCTTGCCATACTGTGGCGGTCTGTAAATAATCGCGTCCAGACCAGACCATCCAGTGACTGGCGTCACGTGCATCGATCCACTGAATTCGTTCTTATTTAACGCCACATTCTGCAGTATTCTAACCATGGCGGCTGTCTGTAAAAAATACGTCTAAAGCAAACAATCCAGTGAGTGATATCATGAGCATAGATCCACGGAACTGGGATACAATACCATACAATCAGCCACGTCATTAGACAACCGGATCTCTTCATGAATACTTTACCGAAATTCCCAACAGGGAACATTTATACAACAAGCATGGGTTCCAGGGGAAATTATGTACTCTGAGAAGGCTCCTTCCTGTTTTGTTTTTAAAATCCTAACTTCCTCCATCCGCCATGAAGTCACGACAACCAATGTAACACTCCGTTATCGTCACTCAGGGCTGTTGCCCTTTGTGCAGTGTTTCCTTCAGCGGGGATAGAACTGTTTGCTTTGCAAAGAGCAATATTTGATATCATAATACGTTAAGAGTCACGGACGCTAGCCATACAGGAAGTGCTTCATTTTCATCAAAAACCTGGCTTCTTTAAACAACAGAAAGCATTAGCTGGGAAAAGACTAATAGCGTTAAATAGGAGTGCATATTTGATGTTTCGAACAGTATCAGGCGGCCGAGCTGCACGATCTGATTGTGTCCTATCAAAAGACTTGCAGTGTGTACCGACGAAGTAATCGATTGAACATTTTTCTGAAAAGTGCATTGACATTTGCATCTTTTAGGTGCAGCTGTATGACATTGCATTCGTTCAAATGTCGTGTAGATTTGTAAAGGTATAAAGGACGTTTCGGTGGAGTATTTGCATTGTTACATATATAGATCATTAACAAGCGTGTAATCCGGCGATATGTGTGAAGAGCATGTGGTTAATGCTTCGATTCCATTACCTGAGACACATAGTTCATTATATTCCTAAGATTTTGACATGTTTACATAATTTCTAACCAAATGTCATGACTCATTAGAGTGTCTGCCTACCGGGAACTTGTATAATATTGATTGATTTCATTTTGATTTTGCAATATATTTTGGTACAGAACTTCTGGAACGATTTGAAGGGTTTCAGCTTTGCAATTTCATATTATTATGATGTTATGATTATTGGGATACATAATAGCCTTTTACATCTAGACCGTATGGCTTCCGTTGATGAGGACGGGGCTATAGCAGTAGGTGACCTGAATGGCGGTGCTTCATCTGTTAGCATGCTGTCAATCCTGTCTGCCCGGTCCATCAATGTTATAGATCGATATAGATGTGATAGTGTTATGGCGTTAGGCAGTACTTACTCGTTGACCAACTCACTCGTGCCATTACTTAAGATACACATGAAGACCCGGGTTAGAATTGGTCTTAGCACCCATGCTTGCCATAAGAGGCGACTAACGGAATCGGGTGGTCAGACTCTCTGACTTGGTTTACATATGTCATCGTGTATATAATTGGAATATTGTTGAGTGCGGCGTTCAACAACAAACTGAGATTAATTTCATTACTTCTGTATGACCGTATGGCTTCCGTTGATGAGGACGGGGCGATAGCAGTAGGTGACCTGAATGGCGGTGCCTCATCTTTTAGCATGCTGTCAATCCTGTCTGCCCGGTCCATCAATGTTATAGATCGATATAGATGTGATAGTGTTATGGCGTTAGGCAGTACTTACTCGTTGACCCACTCACTCGTGCCATTACTTAAGATACACATGAAGACCCGGGTTAGAATTGGTCTTAGCACCCATGCTTGCCATAAGAGGCGACTAACGGGATCGGGTGGTCAGACTCACCGACTTTGTTGACACACGTCATCGTATCCCAATTGAGTAGATCGATGCTCAATATGTTGATGACTGGATGGTCAGGTCCAGACTCGATTATCAACTCTAGCGCTGCCATATAGCTGGAATATTGCTGAATGCAGTGCTAAACAACAAACTAACAACACAAAAAGTTAACTTATTGTGTTGTTGTTTTTGTGTTGTTTGTTACCGCAACAGAAACATTACAGCTTCATGGCAAGCCTGGACCCGACAAACCAATGGTTGATATTATGCAGATTGCCCATCGATATAAGGAACTTTGGCATTTAACCAACCTTGGTCATCGAACGTGACTATCCGATTCAATATAGTCGCCTTGAATCATCTGCTCTGAACCCGTTCTTACCCCTATCTCATGGGGTATTGTACTGTGAAATTGATGTCGGGTTTAACGCAACATTGACTATTATCCCTGGATGTTGACTGTCATCTGGTCACGTAATACATTACCACTAACTGGAGCAATGAGGTGAGGTGAAATTGGGTTTAACGTCGTGCTTGAGAATATTTCGCTCATATGACGACGTGCATGCGTGTGTATGGGTATGTGCGGCTGCTTGTACTAGCCCAGACTGAAGCTGGTTTTATAGTGCTAGCCCACTGAGATACCATGCCGCAGTGAAGCATGAATAGTATTTTACCCCACTCAGACACATTATACTGACGCCGAGCCGACCAGTCCTTGTTGTACCCATTAATGTCGAGCGCCAGGCAGGGACCCAATAGTACCATATTTTAACGCATTTTGGTATGACGCGGTCAGGGATCGAACCCGCGACCTTCCACTCTCCGCGTGGAAGCTCTAACCATGACACCACGGAGGCGGTCCACTGGACCAATGAGGTAGCCTGTAGGTTAATTTGAGTGACATCATGAGCTTCGATCTACGCAACTGGGATACGATGACATGTGTCAACCAAGTCAGCGAGCCTGACCACACGATCCCGTTAGTCGCCTCTTACGACAAGCATGGATTGCTGAAGACCAGTTCTAACCCGGATCTTCACGGGACTTAATGAGTAAAATTGGGGTACAATTCACCACATGGCACAAGATGTGAAGCTCATTTACGGTGTCCACCGCCGTGATATTGTTGGAATATTGCTAAGAGCGGCATACATGTAGAACCGAACTCACAGACGCACTCACTCACTTATCACTAACTATTTTTGGTCTTCTTCAGGTGTGAAGTATCTTAACGACTGTCCATTGGAACCTCGGATTCCGGTCTACCTGTTAGTGGGCGGGTGTTTCGGCATGCTCAAGCTGACCATCAACCTATGGCGAGCGATTCAGTCTCGGAAAGCCGACAGTGCTGACACGTTCTATGACGTAGGTGACAGCGCCGCTCTGACGTCACGCACGTACCGCGTGATGAACTATCTGTTGAACACATTCCTCCTGGTGTGGCAAGTCCTCGGATCCTACTGGGTGTTCATGTTATGGGAGCCTAAATACTCGCCGCAGCTCCACCGCCCTAGCAACTGGTGCGACCGGACAGTGTACATGTTCACAGTTATACAAATCATTGGTCTCTACACATACCTGTGCCTTTGGATTCTGGGGGTGTGTTTCCTGACTTTTATCTATCGGTCTTCGTGTGTAGGACAGATAGACAATGTATAAATAACTATCTTAGATGCTCAATCACTGGTCAGATCAGCTTGGTCCTCGAGTGTGGAACAGACACACAGTGTATAAACGACACACAAAGTTGCTCAATCATTTGTCAGATCAGCTTGGTCTTCGTGTGTGGAACAGACACACAGTGTATAAACGACACCCAAAGGTGCTCATTAACTGGTTAGATCAGCTTGGTCCTCGTCTGAAAAGCAGGCAGACGACGTGTAGACGACACCAAAATATGATCAATCAATTGTCAGATCAGCTTGGTCCTCGAGTGTGGAACAGACACACAATGTATAAACGACACCCAAAGATGCTCAATCACAGGTCAGATCTGCTTGGTCCTCTTGTGAGGAGCAGACATAGGATGTGCAGACGACATCCTATGATGCTCAGTGACTGGTCATGACATCGGTTCTAGTGATTGAACTGACAATAATTTACAAATATTTAAGATGCTCATTTCCTTGTCATTTCAACTGGATTCCTCTTGTATGTAAGACGTACAATGTTCAATGTCAAAAGTAAATGCACAATTCATTTTCACTGGGTCCTTCTCTACTGGTGGCGTATGCTTATCAGACGGACAATGTATAAAAGGTTTCACTTCCTTGTAAGATCTGCTCGGTTTTGGTGTCTCGGTATTCCCGAGACTGCGGCAGAGCAGACGACATTAACAATCTAAAGCGGTGTGAAAATTAACTAATGCACAGATGATATCATTACGGTTTCGTTTAGTCTCGGTGCTAATGTGTGAAGTGCGACTACACTGGTAATGGACAGACAGCTTGCAAGTGTAATTAGAACATCTAAAGCGGTCCGCGTTGAGCTTTCTATAAAATACACGTACGTTTGTCTAACGCCATCAGACGATGCTTGAACGACTCGCTTGGTATCTGCTACTGGTGGATGTGAAACATCAAACATCACTATTACACCATCACCCGACGACCACCACAGCACCCCCTATGTCATCGACGACAGAAGCGACCTTGAGACAATGTTCAACAGGATGACTGCAACAGCAAGGATATAATATGAAAGTATTTTTGCGTGCAATATTCGGAAACAATTATGTTGCCTCAGGTTTTCCATTAAAAGTAAATTGTTTGCAGGTGATGCAGAATGTCGACGATATTGTTTTTGTTGGAAAAATGTTCGACTTCTGTTTCCTGAGCAAAAAGTGTTTGTCCTGAAGCAGTGATAGAAAGCATACTCTGTCATTGACGTGTAGCTAACAATGGCATTCCCTGCTGAAGCTTCAAACCACACTGCTAAACCTTTTTTTCTACACATCTATGAAAGGAACTAGCAACCTTCAAATAGGTTCGGTTTATACTTTTCGTTAGTTCTGATTGTGTTTGAGGGAATTCTTTGAATACTAATCAACAAACACATTATTTATATCTATTTTGTGTCAGGATCAAGTTGGTTTTTTGTGTCAATGTTGTTTCATGTGCCACGGACGTGGTGAATACAAAATAACCAGGACAAGGTGGTTTATTAGCCACGCAAGCACAAGGTCAATACCATATACCTGTGTCAAGGATAAAATGTGAAGCATGCGTCCAGGAAAATGTGATTACTTAGTGTCGGCTGTCAAACACAAAATGTGAAGCATGTGTCAAGGGCAAAGTGAATTAATACGTATCGGATATCAAGGGCAAGATGTGAAGCATGTGTCAAGGAAAATGTCATTACCTAGTATCGGACGTCTTGGACAATATGTGGAACATGTGCCAAGAATAATACGAGTGTCAACGATCAGCTCAATATTGCCATTTTTGTGTCTCTCCATTGAGTACAAGCAGATGATTCCATTTACATCTTGTGTATAATGAACTACCATGTACCGTCTGTCATCCGTCTTTCTGATACCAAAGGCAAGCTTGAACTAGCGCACCTTCCACCAAGGTAAGATGTGATTACTCTGTCTCAAGTATGGTCTGACGTAACTTTAAACTGACTACTAACCATATCTCAAGGATAAGTTTACAACTACGCAGCTGTTAACAAGGCTTAAATGTGGTTTATTCATCAAAGGAGATGTGGATTATATTTCAAGGCGAGATCTGGACTATGTATCAAGGATAATCTGGTGTAAAATACAATCTGACTATTATCAATCTAGTGTCAAGGACACGTTTGCTAAAAACGATCAAGGACAAGCTGATTATAACAATATGGTATCAATGACAAGCAAGAATATTAACAATCTGATATTAAGGACAAGATGACTTTTGGCAATGATGTCAATGAAAAGCTAACAATCAACAATGCAGTATCGATGACAGTCTGACTATTAACAATGTTATATAAAGGACAAGATGCCTATTAATAATCGGGTATCAAGGACAAGCTATATTTTGACAATCTGGTGTCAAGGACAAGCTATATTTTCACAATCTGGTGTCAAGGACAAGCTGATTCATTTCCAAAAGCTGGTGTCAAGGAAAATCTAAATTTTCACAATCTGGTATCAAGGACAAGCTATATTTTCACAATCTGGTGTCAAGGACAAGCTGATTATTAAACAATTGGGTATCAAGGACAAGCTATAATATTTTAACAGTCTGGTATCAAGGACAAGCTGATTCATTTCCAAAAGCTGGTGTCAAGGAAAATCTAAATTTTCACAATCTGGTATCAAGGACAAGCTATATTTTCACAATCTTGTGTCAAGGACAAGCTGAATGTTAACAATCTCACGTCAAGAACAAGCTGAATTTTCATTATATGGTATCAAGGACAAGCTAAATTTTCACATTCTGGTATCAAGGACACTCTATATTTTCACAATCTTGAGTCAAGGACAAGCTAAATGTTAACAATCTTGTTTCAAGGACAAGCCGATTCGTTTTCACAATCTTGTGTCAAGGACAAGCTGAATTTTCAAAATCTGGTATTATGCAAAGACAAGCTGAATTTTCCCAACCTTGTGTCAAGGATAAGCTGAATATTAAAAATCTTGTGTCAAGGACAAGCTGATTCATTTTCAAAAGCTTGTGTCAAGGACAATCTGAATTTTCGCAATCTGGTATCAGGGACAAGCTGAATATTAACAATCTTGTGTTAGGGACAAGCTGATTCATTTTCAAAAGCTGGTGTCAAGGACAATCTGACTATGAAATATCTGGTGTCAATCTGTGCATCTATTGTCAAGTGCAAGATGCGCCAAGGACAAACCAATTTACCAGGAAAGCAAATAGGAACTTCAACAATGTGAGCAAGGACTATAACACAAGAGAGTGTGTTTGAGAAAAGGACATTTTGAATGTGTGCAGTGTGATAGTGTGATCGAAAGAAATGGACCATCGTTCTTAAAGCAAGCTGTGTGGTGATGAACTGAGGACAGTGTGGCTGTAAGAAGACACTCAGGGTAAGAAAACATACATGTGTAACCGTGATCAGAACAGACAGCAACCATTACTCCCCAATCATCCTAGAAACCTTTGGAAGTCAGTTTTAGGATATCCCTGAAGTCAAGCACGGCGCCACTCTCAACGACTATACCATAGAATCTTTTTACTCCTGTCCAGATGATATCTTGACAATCTACATTTTAGGCATTAAAAAGAGCAGCGTGTCAATCATGTTCAAATAATTTCAGCTTCACGTATTTTTTTAATTTCGGTACAAAAATGGACCAGACCAAGCAACGATGAGTTGGGAACTGGCTCTTCTGGAAATATGGTATGCCAAAGTGTACAACTCAAGTTACAGTCCGTACAAAGTTCGACTCCGAGAAGAAACTACGCATGTGATCTAATCCTAAAATGTTCACACAAGTTGCCAAAGAACAATTTTGTTCATATGTACCTCCATGTAATTGTGCTCATATGTAAGGTTGTCGCGTGGTGGTATATCACAACCCTCGCTTCTGTGGCAAACTCTGTTGTTGTTTGATGTGCTTTCATGGGACTTAAAGCATTCTGTTTGATGCAACACCCTGTAGAATTCAGCACAACAGCCGGCCATCGTTATAGATCAAATTACATTAATCGTATTGCAGCATCCCATTGTCATTAGATAAAGGCCTCAGATTCTTGCCAAACAATGGTATTTAAATTCAAATCTAGGTAGAGGCTACAGAAAGATATAGCTTGTTGTGGCCTTACTGAACGAGTGACTCCAACCTTTTTCACGAAGTCTATTTTGATGTGGATTTCTTTATATGCCATTCTTGTATTTTTCCTGTTTGGAAAGCACCTATCAAAATACATAAGATGTTATTTTTTTGCCTATTTCTACATAAAGTTGGTTGTGACCTCACGAAACATCATTATCACAATCATCATCATCATCATCATCATCATCATCATCATCATCATCTATATCATCATCACCTTCCCAATGTATAATTTGAGTTGTGTGTTGTAACACATTGTGTCCATTAACCCAACATTGTGTTTCCAGGTTTCCAAGCTTAATGTGGACTCTCTTCGACTTCTCAGATGTACAATATCTTTTACAAACTGTCCTTGTTTGATATGTATGTTACTTGTGAAACATTGTCGCTTCACTAGAAATAAACTAGCCCCATTCTAAGGGTCGGTACTTTATCTTCATCTAAGGTAGATGGTAACTGATGGATTTCGCGGGTAGGGGTGGGCTTAATTGCAAAAGTTGACAAAAACAAACAAAACTCACCTTCCGTATTTTGGACTGACTGGAGAAACACAAACTCTTCATGATACTTGTAAACTAATGATTATGAGAAATATCTCCCAACATACTAAACAGTTAACCGTTAACATCTTTCTTATGCTAAATATAGCTATTGGAATGCATTAATGCTATAAGGTGGAAAAGCTAGTACGTCTTTCTTCCGGCCTACCTTTAGAATACAGCACCACAAACTTTAAAAATACGTCATAATACCCTTTTACGTAATGTAATGTGATTTTGTTCGAAAGCACGTTCTCGAAACAATGCCTTATGACGCCTGCATGGCAACACGGTTGTCTGGCTCAGCGAGTGCGTATAAGCTCCGCTCACTGGTGTTTCATCTCTACGAGCTATGTCATTGCATGTCTTAATGACACGTGACCTACGGCAGAGATCGTCCTCACGAGAAGTTGTGGTGCTGTATTCTAAAGGTGCTCCAGCCTCGATCTCCTACTTGTCTATTTTCCTGTTTAACACCACACTCAGCAATATTCCAGATATATGGCGGCGGTCTGTAAATACTCGACTCTGGACAAGACAATCCAGTGATCAACATTATGCCTTAAAATTTAGATTCAGCAATATTCTGCGATACCGGATCAACGGCATGAGCTTCGATCTACGCAATTGGGATACGATGACATGTGTCAACCAAGTCAGCGAACCTCATCATCCGATCCCGTTAGTCGCCTCTTACGACAAGCTGAAGTTGGTTGCTGAAGACCAATTCTAACCCGGATGTTCACGTGTCCGAATGACCTAATTCACTTCCCAAGTAGGGGCGGTGGGGTAGCCTAGTGGTTAAAGGGTTCGGGTATGGGTACAATGTGTGAAGCCCATTTCTGGTGTCCTCCGCCGTGATATTGCTGGAATATTGCGAGGGCGGCGTAAATTACACTCGCTCACTCAGCGAAGCTCTCACGCGAGCATACCTAATATCTGTATTGCGTGGACGAATTAAACCAACAACTTCAGAAAGTACATCTATAACATGGCGCCATTATACTGTTGTGAATAACACCCTGCACCATTAAACGTGCCTGTATTCGTATCTGTATCTCTTATCATTCCATTATCAAGAACATCCATGTGTTTAACGATAATATTTCAACATTATATGTTTACATCCGCGTTGCCAAGGTTACAGTTGCCAAAAACAAACACATGCGCCACAGCGCATGCCAACAATGGTGCATCAAGAGGACTGGTTCAGTTTAAAAGCAATAACATGCTTTTTGAAAATGTTTCAGTCTGTTTTGCTTCTTGTTACTTTAAACACGGTCGTATTTTACATAGCTCTTGATTATCTACCCGCACAATTAAATCCACTTGTTTTTCTAGTGTTAATGTTATTTTGCCACCTCAACCTAAATACAATTAGTCTTTTACTGTTTGTCTAACACACATATTATGAAACTTCGTCTCAGTATCGTCTTAACTGAAGTATCAGAATGCGCAAATGGTGTATGGATTGTGTCTTTGAATTTGTATTTTTTTACCCAAAAATATATTCCGGATGACTTAATTTCCAGATTAACAGGATCCCCAGGTTGTACTGCAATCCTCTGAGGAAATGCAGTCAAACACTCCCGTGTCGAATTTTGTTGTTACT